AGTAAATTTTTTTTTATTTGATTGGTTGCCTGTAACTGACAAAAATTTCTGTACATTTTTGGAAAAGTTTACTATTTTCGGAGTAAATTTTGCAACGTTCGGAGTTATATGTTTGACAGTATAGCGAAAATAGTTTAAGTTTGATTTTAAATTTTTTCTGAATCAAATAATTTTCCCTTGTACTTTTTTTGTATTATAATTTTCGTGTATTTTTTTCTTTTTCGAAAAAGGGTAATTTTTTCATATTATTGCGCGTTTTATGGTCAATTTGCAATTGACCGTAAAAAATTGATTTTGAAGAAAATTATATTATTTTCGAGATAGAAGGAAGGAAGAAGGAAAGAAAAAGAAGAGAAACTGCATATGTTCTGAATTTTGTACAGGCCATAAATGCTGTAGAAAGCCAGGGCAGAAATAAATTTAACCCTTCAACACCATTTTAGACGCCTTCAAATAAGCGAGAAATGGATGAATAAGCAGTCTTATTTCAAGGTTCAAAGCAAATTTTTTTCTTTTCTCTTTTTTTTTGCTTCTCCACAAAGCAGACCCTCGTTATTTCTAAAAACATCTCTACCAGAGAATTTTATCCAATTTTTTCTGACTCCCCTGAAGGGAGTTTTTCTTAAAAAAAAAGATAAAAAAAATAAGAAGGAAAAGTACCTGACCATTGTGGGTCACTGGTTCTTCTCTTTTCAAATAAGACAAGACGAATATGGCCGCAACTAAAGTACAAATTACCTGTCGAATATAATACTCTAAAAATTGGCATCGATCTCTTTTTACCTGAAACGAACTTTCTACTTTCTCCTCCGAAATTCCTGACAAAAAAAAAATTAGGTAATTATAAAGAACTCCAACCGGGAGCTTCTCGTCTTTTTTTTCTCCCCCAACGACAAATTTAGCGTTACAAGTTTTTGTCCCCGATCTTTGTTAATGTCCTTTCTATTCGAATGAGGCAAATTTATATTCTGCTACCACTTCGCTGGTAATTTTCTTTTTTGTATATTTGCGATAATTAAATTATGTTAAAGAGATTTTCGATATGGGAAAAATTTTTTTTCTCTTTGAATTGATAATTTCTCTAAAACGAGTTCTTGAAAAAGAATTTCTGAAGTAAATATAATAAAATAACTGAAAGAAAAATCTTCTTTTTCTTCTGTACATAAATTATTTAAAATGACTTTTGGAATTGGAGAAAAAATTCAAAATTCGCAATATAAATAAATTAGTGACAATTATAATTGCTATATGTACGCTTTTAATATTTATACTTCGAGGAAGTATGTCTATTTTAGCAAGACGTTTATTTGCCACGGGGGAGACATATATTTTTTTCTTTGAATTTTCAAACATTTCAATAGAAACGTGTATATTGTACGTAACATGCTCGTGTATACGATGTACGTGTTTAACGAAGCTACATTGCACGCAAATGGAATAACTTAGGGAATTATGAAGGCACGCTTGTACTCGGTTTTACCCTCATTAGATATGCTGCCCGAAGATGGTTTTAAATGCGAAACGTTTCCAAGGATGGTTTCCGTGGATTTCGTGTGAGATATCAAAAAGAGTCCAATTCGCAAATAAACTTTCAACTCATAGACGGGAACAAGTTTTACAGAAAAATATACTAAAAAAAAATTAAACGAAAAAAAAATAAGTGAAAAAAAATAAACGAAAAACAAATAAAAGACAAAACGAAAAATTAAAAAAACGAAAAAAAAAATAAAAAAACAAGAGACCAAAAATTATAAACAAATAAAATGATAAAAACCAAAAACGAAAAAATAAATAGAAATCCGAAAGAACCAAAAAATGAAAACCAAAAGAAACGAAAAGGGAACAAAACATAATAACAAAGAAATATAAAAACCATAAAAAACGAAAAGAGACGAAAAAATAATACCGAAAAAAATTAAAAAACAAAAGACCAATAAATATAAACAAAAAAAATGATAAAAACCAAAAAAGAGCAAATAAATGAAGACCAAAAGAAATCAGAAAGAACAAAAAAATGCATAACAGACGAAAAGAGAACTAAAAATAATAACAAAAAAAAAATAAAAACCATAAGAAACGAAAAGGAACCAAAAAAATATTTAAAAAAAATGAAAATTAAGAGACCCAAAAATATAAACAAAAAAAAATGATAAAAACAAAAAAAGAAAAAATAAATAAAAATCCGAAAGAACCAAAAAATGAAAACCAAAAGAAACGAAAAGGAAACAAAAAATAATAACAAAAAAAAACAATATAAAATTATTTCATAAAAAAATTTATGAACCATGAAAAGCGAAAAGGGACCAAAAGGAACCAAAAAAATATTTTAAAAAATGAAAATTAAGAGACTCAAAAATATAAACAAAAAAAAGAATGATAAAAACCAAAAAAGAAAAAATAATTAAAAATCCGAAAGAACCAAAAAATGAAAATCAAGAGAAACGAAAAGGGACCAAAAAAATAATACCAAAAAAAAAATAAAAAACAAGAGACCAAAAAATATAAACAAAAAAATGATAAAAACTAAAAAAGAGCAAATAAATAAAGACTGAAATAAATCAGAAAGAACACAGTAAAAAGAAAATCTTATTTTAAGGCACGAAAGCTGCCTTAAATTAAGATGCAACATTTTTAAGACAGTCAATGTTGAATTTACGCACGTTTTTCGTATCCTTTAACATTATAGCAGACAGTGTTGAATTTAAGGCAGCTCTTAAATTAAGATTTACTTTTTACTGTGAACAAAAAAAAATCCATAGGAAACGAAAAGAAAAAAAAATAATAAAAAAAAAATAAAAACCATAAGAAACGAAAAGGAATCAAAAAAATAATAAAAAAAAAAATGAAAATTAAGAGATGAAAAGAAAACAAAAAATAATAAAAAATGAAAAATAAAAACCATAAGAAACGATAAGGAACCAAAAAAATTATTAAAAAAATGAAAATTAAGAGACCATAAAATATAAAGAAAAAAAAATGATAAAATCCAAAAAGGAGCAAATAAATAAAGACCGAAAGAAAACAGAAAGAACAAAAAAATCTATAGGAAACAAAAAGGAAATAAAAAATAATATAACAAACTAAATATAATAAAAATCATAAGAAACGAAAATAATGGAATTATTGGTTCAAATATCATTTAATTGATTTAAATCAAAATTATTTGATTCAAGTAAATACGAAACAATGTTTATTTGATAATAGTTTCTTTTGATGTAAACAAAAATTATTTATTTCAAATAACCGATTACCGATTATTTGAATGAAATAAATTTGTTTTTCAGTGTTAAATTGACATATTATTATTAAAAACTTTTTGGAACTAAAATAAAAACCATAAAAAACTAAATAAAAATACCAAGAAATAAAAATCAATTTTTCGTGAAAAATTCGGGGAAATTCAAATTAAGAAATTTTTGTTTTGTTATCTAACGTGGATGGAGACGAGCTTTCGGTAACAAAGCTTTTGGTTCGTTATCAGGGAGTGAGAGAGAAAGAGAGAAAGAAATGAGAGAGTGTAGAAACTCGCTTCCGCCGCAAATGTCTAGAATTAGATTCGCTCCTCACGCATCCATTGAGTTACCCTCACTCCCATGAGATTCGAAAGGGAATCGCTTCGCCATTACTAAACAGAAGCCATGGCTTCCTTGGAAAAAAAGAGGAAAAGATTTCCCCTTGAGGAGTCAGTTCTAAATCTTTCTAATCATAAGGGATTTGAAAAAAAAATTCATTCCCCAAATTTCCATTATCCAACAAGCTTTCAATTTTTTTCATAACATTCATTTTCCATTGTAATTCCATACAGAAATGTAATAAATTTTATCAAAAAAAAAAAAAAAAAAAAAATGAAGATAAAAATCAAAATGAATTACTTTGATGACGTGTTTTGTAAAACTTACAGTACTCTCTAAATTTGAATAAGTGAAAATTCATTGGCAAAATAGTTAGAATTTAGTGATTGAAGTGTTTCAGTAAAATTTCCATTGAAATTCAGTCGTTCGTTACTAAAAATGAGTGAAATTGTTACTGACTACCAAACTGTGTGGTATTTATTCTCAAACATATTTTTATTACCAAACTTTATGGTATTTATTCTCAAACGTATTTTTATTACCAAACTGTGTGGTATTTATTTTCCAACATATTTTTATTACCAAACTGTATTGTATTTTTTACAGTAATTTTTACCTAAAAGAATTATTCCTGTGGAGTATTGTAATTTTTACTGAACACATTTTTATTATCACACTGTAATAAAATTAAGTTTGAGAATAAATACCTTACAGTATGGCAAAAAAATACGTTTCTGAATAATTACAATACAGTTTGATAATAAAAATACGTTTGAGAATAAATACCATACAGAATAGCAAAAACAATACTCTACAGTATTGATAATTGTTTCAGGTTAAAATTACAATACTGTATGGCAATAAAAATACGTTCGGTAAAAATCTCAATCCAGTATTGTATTAAAAATACATTTAAGAAAAAATACTATGCTGTACACTGAGAGAAGTCCGGGAACTAATACGTTCCGTGCGAGCCTTGAGTTGTACTTTTGAATGTTTTTATGTGAACCCTCGAATCGGGATGTCTCAAGCCCCGATGCGAAACGTGGAACGTCCTGAAGCGAGATTACGCAGAACTTTCAGTGTTTGCCACCAGTTGCTTTCTCACATGCGAGAACAATGTTTGACTGGATCGGGGAGTCTCAGCACCCGATTCGGAACAACTCAAACACGACAAGCAGAGTAGCTCATAGCGACGTCTAGCGGGAACTATTACGTCTCGGTCTTCTCTCAGTGTTTGGTAATAAAAATACGTTTCCGAAAAAATACCATACAGTAAAGTAATAAAAATACATTTGACAAAAAATACCGTACAGTATGGTAATAAAAATAAATTTTTATTGAGAGGAGTTTCAGTGAATCTAAAAAAATTACCAAACTCTATGCTAATATAATAATTAATAATTGAGAAAAAAGAAAGAATCCTACCTTAATATAGCTGTGTACATTGTGGTACTAGCAGAGGATGATGTGGGTTGGCGGTGGGGTGATCTTGGGGGCTCCGGTGTAGGGCGTACCCCTAGTTACCCCCGTCGGGTCCCCCTCCCCCACCCCCTTGCTGTTGATGAACAGCCGCAGCCGCTGCCGCCGCTGCTTTTTGCGCTTGCGCCTGTTTCTCCTGTTCATTTAATTCTTTAATTGCCTGTATTTCCTTCTTGAGTTTCATCCGTCGATTTTGGAACCAGATTTTTATCTGTCTTTCCGTTAAACATAATGCGTGCGCCATTTCAATTCGCCTCCGCCTAGTGAGGTAGTGATTCGTGTGAAATTCCTTCTCCAATTCCAACGTTTGATAGCGTGTATACGTTTGACGTCCGCGTCTGCGCAGTCCATTTGCCCCTGAAAATGTAATTTAATTCGTTAGGTTTTTCTTTTTTCGTTTTCTTATTCTATAATTATTCTTATTTTATTCTAAATTTGAAACTTTTAAATTTTAAAGTGTTTCAAATTTCTTTTAGTATGCAAAATTATTTTTCTAAATTTTTAAAGTATTCTAAATGTTTATTCTATTTTTTAATTTATATTCTTATCATCTTAACAGTGTTGGCAAAATAAAAAATTTCATGTCACAAGTGTGTTAAATTTTTTTTCTTGTTTTTAGACATGATATTTTAAATATTTTGTTTTTTTGGGTTCCTGAATACTAATCTTTGGTCAAAATTAAAAAATTCAAAATGGCTTCCAAATGGCGACCGAGAAGAGTAAAAGTTAACGGAAATTTAATTAAAATTATTACTGGGGGGTTTTTTGGGTCCCTAAATTCAAATCTGGTCAAATTTTAAAAATTCAAAATGGCGGCTTTAAAATGGCGACCAAGAAATTTAAAAATTAACAGAATTTAAATTAAAATAATTTCTCGCGGGTTTTTGGGGTCGCTGAATTCAAATCTTTGATGAAAATTCATAAATTCAAAATGGCGGCTTTAAAATGTTGACAGAAAAATTTTAAAGTTAACGGAATTTGTCTTAAAATTACTACTCGGGGGTCTTTTGGTCCCTGAATCCAAATCTTTGGTCAAAATTTAAAAATTCAAAATGGCGACCGCAAAAAATAAAAATTAACAGAATTTGATTTAAACTGATTACTCGGGGGTTTTTGGAGTCACTGAATTCAAAATGGCTACAGAAAAATTGAAAAGTTAACGGAATTTGTCTGAAAATAGTTACTCGGGGGTTTTTTCGGTACCTGAATTTAAATCTAGTCAATATTTTAAAATTCAAAATGGCTGCTATAAAATGGCGACCGAAAAATTTAAAAGTTAACTGAATGTGAATTAAAATGATTACCCGGAGGTTTTTTGGGTCCCTGAATTCAAATCTAGTTAAGATGTAAAAATTCAAAATGGCGACCAAAAAAATTTAAAGGTTAACTAAATTTGTCCTAAAATTATTACTCGGGGTCATGAAAATAAGTACTCGGAAGTTTTCTGGGTCGCTGAATCCAAATCCTTGATCAAAATTTTTAAATTCAAAATGGCGACTTACAAATGGCTAGATTTGAAAACTTTAAAATTTTTTTAACAGCCATTTAGAAAAATTGAAGAAGAAGCAAAAAAAAAAAAGAATAACAACATACCCTAAGGAAAAAAATGTTTCGTTTTGTAGAAATTTCGAAAATTGTCAATTTTCATTGATGTTAGGGTTAACAAAAAAAAAATTGTCGTTTCCTTCTCAATGACAAATCCAAATAGATTAGAAATTATTCTAATTGGAGATTTACGATGTCAGATTGGGAAAATATAGGCATTGAAGGGTGAAATGACTTGTTTTAATGGCACTTGTAGCGATTACGAGGCACTTGATTTAGGATGTTGGTTAAAGTTTCGGTGGGGGGGGGAGAGAGAAGGGGAAGTGAGGGGCGCATTTCGAAGCAAAGAGCGATGGTGTCATGGAAGCCGGTTGTTTTATGTAGGTCGCACAACGCGTCGGAAGCCAAAGGGTTAAAAGCAGAGTGTGTACCGCACCATGCGGGCTGTTCCATAATCTGTATATAGTATAGAGCGAGACGAGGTTTTGCTAAAACCGAGAGTGAGAGAGAGAGACAGAGAGAGAGGAGAGACGAAACAGGGGTTTTACGAGGCAGTAACGGCCGATAAGGTGAGCTTGCGCCACCGGAGGGGCTTATTCCACTACTGCACCCAAGTGGCTGTTCAAACGGCCACCTCCACTCTCGCAACGACTCAACTACACTTTATTTAATACCATTTACACGCTTCCAGTGCTCACAAATGCCAAAGATTTTTCTCACCTCTTTTCCACGTTGGCTTTTGAATTTTTCTGTTTCTTTTTTTTTTTTTTTATCTCGAACAACTCATTTAAACTTTATGATATGAGGGGTAAAAAATTTTTCTGAATTTTATTGGTTTCTAGTTTGTATTTACTCGTTTTTACTGTAGGTCTTTCTAATAACCTACTAAAAATTATTCCAATGAAATTTAAAGCGTTAGTTGCAAATTGCAACCAATTGATATCACAATTTCGATCGAAATCTTATTTTCATTTTAATCTTAATATCAAATGGATTTCATTTTTTTAACAGTTTGATTCAATTTGGTACCAATTAAATAAAACTTGGTGCCATTTCGAGTCAATTACTCAATTTGATATCAGATTCTATTTGTTATTAATTTGATTAAATTTGGTGTTAGGATTTAAATAATTTCTTTATAAACGAGCAAAGTTTGAGGAGATTGATTTTTGGTACTAACTTGATTCAAATAGGTATGAACTAAACATAAATTGGTACCATTTTGATTCAATTTGGTATCAATTTGATTCAATTTGGTATCAATTTGATCCAATTTGGTATCAACTTTATTCAAATTGGTTTCATTCAATTGAGTATCAATTTGATCCAGTTTGATAGAAACGTGATTTAAATTAATTTAAATTATGTAGTACCAAATTGATTAAATTTAGTATCAATTCGTTACAATTTAAAGCAACATTTTCATCCTATTTTTTTATCAAATTGATCCGAATTGGTATCATTTTGATTCAATTTGGTAACAGTTTAATACAATTGACTATCAATTTGATTTAATTTAGAATCAATTTAATCCAATTTGGTATCAACTTTATTAACATTGGTTTCATCCAATCGAGTATTAATTTCATCCATTTTGGTATCACTTTGATCCAGTTTATAGTATAAACTTGATTTAATTTGATATCAGTTTCATTGAATTTTGCACCAATTCGTTTCAATTCGTTAAAAACTTGATTCGTTTTAAGCAAACATTAAATTATTTTCGTAAATAATACAAATTTTACAGGAATTCAATTAATTAAAACACAATTAATAAAATTCTTTCTCAAATTCAATTTATTTTCAAATGTAATAAAATTCTTCGAAGAAATTCAATTATTATGTTCAAAAATTTTTAAAAATGCCACGTCAAAATTTCAATTATCTTTAAAAATAATAAAATTCTTTCTCCAAAGTTCAATTATTTTCATAAATGTCAAAAAACTTCTTGTCCTAATTTCAATTATTTTCAATATCTACTATTTTAATAAAATTTTTCAAAAGATTTCAATTATTTTAAAAAAAAGTGTTAATAAAATTCTAAGCAAACATTAAATTATTTTTATAAATAATGAAAATTTCACAGGAATTCAACTATTTACATAAATGTTTTTATAAATTTCTTGTCAATAATTCAATTATTTGCATATAAATAATAAATTTTTTTACCGAGATTCAATTATTTTAATTATTAATAAAACTCATAATAGAATTTCAATTATTTTTAATACAATTTTAATGCGAATTCATCGAAAAATGTAATAGAAACTTTAATTAAAATTCGTCGAATAAATTTAATTATTTAAAAATTTGTTGATAAAATACTTTACGAGGATTCAATTTTGATAAACATTCATTTTTTCAATATATTATTATTACATTTTTTAAAAAATCATTGAATTCAATTAAAAAATTTGATTAAAATAGTCGATTTTCTAAATATTTGAATTTCAGCGAAGAATTTCATTATCTATGAAATGTAATTGAATTTTTGCAAAGAAATTTTTGAAAGTAATTACATTTTACGAGGAATTTTTTAAAAACTGTATTAAAAATAATTGAAATCCTATATGAGAAATTTTAATATTAATGAAAATAATTGAATTCTTACAGCGAATTTTATTAAATTTTTTAAATAATTAAATTCATGTGAAAAATTTTATTACTTGTAAAAATAATTGAATTCCTGCGAAGGATTTTATTAAAATTTCTATAAATAATTTAATTTTCTTTTTTAAAAATTTTATGGAAATTTAAATTATTATAAAACATGAAGATATCAATTATTTCAAGTCGAAGACATCTTCATCAAAGATATATTCATGTTTTACAATATAATAATAATATTCTTATAAGTTGTTGAATTTCATAAAGATTTACATTTTTTAATATTTTTGCTTGAAACTTATTACATAAAGATTTTTAGGGTCGCTGATTATGAATCTAATGTCAGATTTTCAAAATTCAAAATGGCGGATCCAATATGGCGGATAATTTGAAAATTAATACGTTTTGATTAAAGTAGTTATTTAGCTCAGTTATGGTTGATGCAACATCGTAATAACTATAGAAATCAACCAATCTATTAGGAAAGAGAGACGAATTTGTTTTCCCTTTTTTATAAAAAAATAAACAAAAAAGTTTTTACGAAAAAGAATAATATTAATCTTTGGAAATAAATTCCACTTTAGGAAGTTAATATTTTTTTTTCAAAAGCGTAAATCGGAATGAAAAAATTCTCCAATGAAAGAAAACATAATGTGATTATCGAGGAAGAAAACCAATTTCTTTCCCCAAAGACAAAATTCATGTGTTTCTATATATGTATAAAGTATATATATATATATATATAAAGATTATTCTCTCAACGATTATTCCTTCTCTCATGGTCTGTTTCGCGAATTCAGCATAAAGTTCGTCCTCCCTCACGATTAGAAAGCCACGCACGCTTCTTATACTTTTCCGAGTCGTGGGTTTTTTCCCTCCCCCTGCTGCTCAGAACTTCCCTCCTCTTTTCTCTCTTTCTAAAAAAACGAACTTGCTTTCTGGAATGAACCAAGAAAAACTATTAAGATGGGGAGGGAAGTAAAAAAGAGAAAGAGAGAGAGAGAGAGAGAAAGGTAAATCGAGAGAAATGCGATGCTGTCACATTTTCTACTTTTGAAAAGACATATGAGGGCAATTTAATTGGAGAGGGGAATTTATTTATATAAGTTCCTAGAGTCTATCACAGGGAAATCATATAAATTGGCTTCTTTCTTTTTTTTTAGGGATGTTGCACGCGAAGGGCAAGTTTATATACGTTGACAAAT